CGGGGATGCCAAGCTGCTTGTTCGCAATATCTTTGGGGTGCGCCTCTGGCTGAAGGCACGAGCTCCCCACGATCAGCTTGAGAAAAAGTTGAATTCGGCAGGAATTATTATTTGCAGGCTCTCTTTCCAGGGGACGCAGCCTAGCTTTGGCCCAAGAAAGGGTCCAGGGTTTTAAGAGAAAGCTAAGAACGGCTTTGCCTCCAAATTCTGCCTTTGTGGCTCGTTGCAAACGGTGTTATTCTCTTCTTCCTGGATGAGACTCAAAGGATGTTTAAAAAAAAAAAAGCCATTCTCGGGCATCTTGCTCAGCACATCCGCATCTTTCTAGATGAGAACCCCAGGGCTACTCAGAAGAGATCCACGTTGCCATTTTCAATGCTAGGCGCAATGCTCTTGAGCGTTATTTCCCTCTCATTGGCCACCTCTCCCTTTTTAATGGGTTTTTCCTGCAAAGGTTAGGAGTTTCACTCCTCCAGGGATTCACAGATCCCCTTTCCCAGGATCCTGACGGATCGTGGGCCTCGCGCGTGGGCGTTTCGCTGGTATTTCGTCCTTTTTTCATTGGTTTTGCAAACGTGTGCCCGCCGCCCGTCTCGCACCTTTTCCGTGAGATGGGCGGCTCTGTGACGACGATCAAGAAGTCAGTACTTTCCTTTTTGAAGGCTCCGTGGCCGTCTTGGATAACGGGTTTGGAGGGAGCCCGTAAGGTGGTATTCGGAGGGCTGGATTAAAAAGTGGGCTGCCCTGGGTTCAAATCTCGAGGTTAACCGCTGCTCCTCGGTTTAGGGGTCATGAGTCAAAACACAAGGGTTTGGAGAAGGTCTTTTGCTCTCCAAGAGACACTGGGCTGCCCCCCCCCCCAAAAAGCCATTTTGGCATCTTATTGACTTTTTCCTTCTTTTGGGGAGGGGGCAAGCAATGTGGCTGATGCTGCAGCCGCTTAGCAGAAAGGCGCTCTCGTGAGTTGGGGGTGCAGCTGAGGTCCTCCAGAGAGCCCCCAAGGGCTACCTGAGTGTCTGATCTCTGTGGCTTCGGTGGATCCAATTCTTCACGGCTCTCAGGTTTTTCTTCCCCCCGCCCCACCCTGGTTAGCTCCACTGGGGAAGCTGCCAGATACAGATCAATATAGTTGCACCGTCTCGCCGGTTGCAACTGGACCATAAGGCAGAAGGGGCTGCAGGTTGTGGCTCCACCCCGTTTGCCAATAGCTGGCTGGGGAGAGAAGCAGGCAAGGGTTGGAAAGCTGGAGGGGAACGATGGTTCTCGGCAATTTCAGCTAGCTGGTGGTGATTCATAACAGGAGCCCTCGATGACAAAGCCAGCTTCTTCTCTTGGTTAGGGTAACAGGACCATCAGGGCGGCGGGGGGAAGTGGATCGAAATTCAGATTGGATCCCCAACAGGTGTCATTCGGTCCCTTGCAACTCAGCTTAGCATCATTCTGCTCAGTTCTTATTTTTATGTTTTAACTGCAAAAGGGATTCTCTTGGGGCCTGAAGAGGAGGCCAACCGCCAGCAGAAAGAGTTTGTTCAAAGGCATGCCTTTGGTGTTGCCATCCGCGTGGGAGAGAGAATTCCCATGCGCTTCATCACCCGGAACGCCAACTTGGATTCGGGCCTCGGCAGAGGTGCCCAGATGTTGGCGTCCCGCGCTCTGCGGGAAGGCGCAGGAGCAAGCAAACCCTTTGCATCTGTGAGTTGGCAGCCCCGGTTCAGGTGGGGAGGTTTAGAAACCCCCTGGGTGGGTTGGCACCGTTCCTGGCCCCCAGGCAGGGCAGCGCTACCAAACCAGAGAGGCGTGCAAGTCGTAGGCGGACGGCGGCTTCTTCAGATCTTCACCCGCTTCGGCTGGCTTTGAATTGAACGTGCTGTCCTTGTCCTTGAAACTCCAGTGTGTTTCTCCAAGATCTTCTCGGGGGGGGGGGGGCGTTTTCACGGTGCATGCATGGACAAAACTGCTCAACGCCTTCAGGGAGAGACGGCCCCCTCCAATTTTCTTCACCCTGGATCTTATGCCCTAATCTTTCAGCTTCGGTTTTCAGATCTTGATACTTTTTTCTTCCCCAATTCTTCGCCTTCTGTTCTCCTGATCCCTGGCAGGGCCACCTCAATTATCCACACTTTCTTCTTTGCGACCACCGTTAAATCTGGTGTGTTCAAGTGTGCAAATCTGGTGCGCCAAGACTTTATCAGTCTGTATTTGGAATTATTAGTAGTATTCAAGACTGAACGGGTGCAAATGAGCGCCTTATTCATCTTTCATCAATATTGTTAGAATCACCAAAGAGCGATCGATTCAAAATCCATGTGGGTAAAGCAGTTAACCAGCCATGGGTTTTCGGTGAGCCACGTGCAGGTGTCCGCAACTTTGAAATATTCCTGTTATTGCTATGGATAGGGAGCCCTGAAACTGACCCCCCCCAAAAAGAAAGGATCGGTGTCTACTAATTCAGTTTCTTTCGGTTCCACTTTATTTGGGCCGTGAAAACGTTGCAAGGAAGGGGAGGGGGAATACATTGAGAAATAGCTGAAGAGCCCCGATCCGTTTCAGATGCGTTTTATTCTGGATTGAGAAGGGTTGGGAAAGAGAAGAGTTTGGGGACCTTGTTACGACTATCCCATTTATTATTGCAGAAGTCGGGTTTAAGGTGTTGCAAGGCTCCGCGGGCTTTTGTGCCCCAAACTAAAATGGCTGCTCCTTTGGAAACGCGCACTTTCTCTGGGTGTGTGTTCAGGTTGTACGAAAAAGGAAAGGCTTATCGAAGCAGAAGAGCTCCGGGGTCTTTCCGTGACCGGCAGACGCTCTGAATTCTTTCCAGTGCCGTAAGAGGGGTTGGTCCTGGGTGTCGCCAGCTATAAACGTATGAATATTACCAGGGCCCGATGTTGGCCACCCGCTGCAAAATGATACCGCCGGAAAAGTGGCAAGCGTTAATTAAGCTCATCGAGTGGGCGGAGTGGCTTGCCAAGGAGAGGTAGGGTTATTTATAGGGCTGGTTTTCAGTGGGGAAGTGGGAATTCTTGGGCTTAATTGCCCGGGACAAATCTGAGCCACTGGGAGGATTGGCAAAGTTTGAAAAGCGGTGGAGTTTGAAAGGATGGAGATGGATAGAGTGTTCTGTGTTCTAGAGATCCCTCCTTCCTTCCTTCCTTCTTTCCTTCCCTCCCTCCCTCCCTCCCTCCTTCTTTCTTTCTCTTCTTTCCTTCTCTTCCTTCCTTCCTTCCTCTTCCTCTTCCCTTCTTCTCTTCCTCCTTCCTTCCTTCCTTCTTTCCTTCCCTCCCTCCCTCCCTCCCTCCTTCTTTCTTT